GAAGAAAATTCTTAATTTAAAATAATAATTGTACAAACATTTCGAGCTCTACTTGCTCCTCTTCAGTGCGCAAAAAAATAGTGATAATAAATAACGATAATAAATAAATACATAAAATTCTAATAAAAAATCCGCAATACATAGTCAATATAAGTTATATAGTTGAGTCATAGTTAAAACGCAAAATATATTTACAATGAATTGAGACCATTAAAATAGTTCAACAAAGTAAGAACCCAATTAGAAGCAGAATGATTCGTCCGGTTATTCATAAAATATATTAGAATTATTAATAAAAACTTGGAGTGACACTTATATATTGCTCCAAATGAACCACTTATCGTTATTTGACGAAAGTCCCTCGATCTGGCAATGATTATGTTCATCCGCTCCAAATTATTTGATATTTGTTAACTGAATTTAAAGAATTTATTCAATTGTAAAATAGGATTCCACTAATGTGTATGTGAAAAAAGATTAAAAATTATAAATTAAACTAACTACTAAAATATTGAACCTTTATGCTTACAAATTGTTCCGAATAACTTGAGATGACAATGCTTCTAACTGTTGTTGGCCTTATTGTTAGTACTTGACTGTTGTCTAGTCTTTTAAAAAGTCGAATAAATAGGTGTCAGTTCTCACAAAATAAACATATTACATAAGTCTAAAAATTCGATATTTCTTCTAGAATGTCGAAATACGCGTTGTTAAGCAATTCCGTGTCTGTGTTATTATTTATACCATGCCTTTGTTCCTTGATGTGTATCATTTCCGAGATAAGTCTTTTATAATAATTAGATTCAATATCAAGTATTTTAACGTTATCCCAATCAAAAGCATGTTTTTTTTCTATAATATGTTCAGAGACCACAGAATGCTTGGAGGAATCAAATTTAATATTATTCATATGCTCTTTTAGTCTAGTGCGTAATTTTCTTTTGGTTTGCCCAACATACGAAGCTTCACAATCCTTACAATTAATTTTGTAGACAACATTATTATTATTGTTATGCACGTTTTTGTCCTTGTGGACTTTAATTAATTTGTTAAGATTATTTAGATCATCTCAAGTTATTCGGAACAATTTGTAAGCATAAAGGTTCAATATTTTAGTAGTTAGTTTAATTTATAATTTTTAATCTTTTTTCACATACACATTAGTGGAATCCTATTTTACAATTGAATAAATTCTTTAAATTCAGTTAACAAATATCAAATAATTTGGAGAGGATGAACATAATCATTGCCAGATCGAGGGACTTTCGTCAAATAACGATAAGTGGTTCATTTGGAGCAATATATAAGTGTCACTCCAAGTTTTTATTAATAATTCTAATATATTTTATGAATAACCGGACGAATCATTCTGCTTCTAATTGGGTTCTTACTTTGTTGAACTATTTTAATGGTCTCAATTCATTGTAAATATATTTTGCGTTTTAACTATATAATTTATATTGACTATGTATTGCGGATTTTTTATTAGAATTTTATGTATTTATTTATTATCGTTATTTATTATCACTATTTTTTTGCGCACTGAAGAGGAGCAAGTAGAGCTCGAAACGTTTGTACAATTATTATTTTAAATTAAGAATTTCTTCTCAATAATAAAATAATATCGTATTGCTCGTTACACATGGCCTTAATTTAATAATTTATCATTGATCATATTTATATTCTTTATGATAAGATTTGGGAAAAAATTTACATACAAATTATGATTATGAATACATTAAATACAAAGTATGCAAATTTTTAGAGACAAAACGCGTTCTTACTTTTGAAGTGATAACGGATGAAGGGACAGAATAAATTAAAATTGTTACAAATGCTTTTTAAAGTAGAGACTTTAAGCTTGACAACTAAAGAATTTCAAATACAACTATTTTTGAGGAAGTTACGATTATTTGAAGTTATGCGAAATTTGACACAAAATTACCTATGCGTTAATTTTGTTGGCTAGTGTATAATTGATTATAAGGATATTAGTTTGGACTGTAATGTTTAGTAATTTTGCGGATTTAATTATAACAATTTCGAAAGCTAATTTATGTAATTTATGTAAATTTATTTTGATGATTATATTCTTTAGAGAAATTAATTTTTCTAAATCAACTAATTAACTCTATTATTACTTTTAAAGTAATGAAATTGGTTGTGACATTGCCAAGTTTTTGCATATGCAGATAATTCTTCAAATTTTTCGTTTTTTTTTCCAATAGCAGTTTTCAATAGCATTCCAATATCTCGAGAGATTTGGAAATTTTATCGTTTTTATCTGGAACATATCATTGTCAATTTATTGTAAGTAATATATTATTTGTTAAGCTTAAGCGATTAGTTTAACAGTATGCAAGGTTACAAGAAATAGAAAGAGATAAAAAGAAGGAGAAAAATATATTTATAATAAAAAGTTTTATAGAGTTTGTATGTATTATTCATATAACGTCGGATGCGCGATTAGTTTTACATTGAAATCATCTCTTGAGACATTAAAATGCAATTTAAAAAAAAAAAAAAAAATTCGAGGAATTATCTGCATAAGCAAAAACTTGGTAATGTCACCAATTTCATTAAAAGTAATGCTGGAGTAACTAATTGATCAGATATATAATATTGACTATAATAAGGGCTAGAATAATTAAATAATGGTCAATAATCCGAATATGAAAAGTATAACGTAATGAATATATAAAATCATTGCGTGTAATATATTCTTCAATGTATCTTTTCATCTTTAATTATACGATTTATCATATTTCATTGCAGAGAGATATTATAAATGTATTGCACAGTTGCTATATAAATAAAACTATAGTACAGCAGTGTTTTTATTCTCGAGATTTATTTAAATGACTGATCGAGTAACAAAAGATCGGTCCTTGCAACTATGCAAATCAATTTGCTGGCTAAACACTTTCTATTATTATTAGAATGTTAATATAAACGATTTTTTTTATAAAAGACTTATAAATGTTACACGTTGATTTTATATAAAAAAATGCATATCTCTGTATATTATCTCTCGCAATATATTAATTCCGCAAATCATAAATAAAATATATTTACATACAAGCAACGGCGGGCGCGTTGTTATTAAATCCTTCCTTTGCAAGGCACTTGTTTTATCGGATAATTAATAATTCAGATTTTAATCAAATCATGTATGCATAAACGCATACCACAAACGTCTAATCGATTATTTGTTGCTTTCAAGAGACCTTTATATGTCGCACGACATTTTTCATTCATTACACATAAAAAATTTAATCAATTAATTGGCTTGCACTTTTTCAAGAATAATTATATATATACAAAATCAACAAATAATAAATCCGCGATAGATAGATGACAAAGATTTTTACTTAAGATTTTTCGTATTATTCATCATTTCACTTATTGATTCAAAAGCATTTTCGCGCGATAAGTATTTTCGTACCATCTCTATCGAATAAGAATCCACTGTCTCACATATGCACATATACATATATTTCACTCACGAAGTATTTATTTACTCATGGATTTCTGACCAAGCGCGTAGCAAACGTCTAGCTGATACAAGAGATACATCGAAACTGCCGAAGTTTCTCCCGCACCCTCGAGGCCCGGGCGCTTACATCAGAAGAAATGGATATAAATATATAAAGAGGGGACAGGGACTTCAAGAGAGCAAAAAAAGAACCATAAAATCGACGAGGGTACGAGAGTGGTTCCTTTATTCTCGAGAAAATTTTCTCATCTCAGAAAAAGGAAAATACTGTATCAGAAATCTTTGATTTATAAATAAATTAAGTTTTTAAACTATATATATATCAAGCATCACAAAATTTTAATGATTCTATATATGATCCTGTAAATATCCTATATATCCTACACATGTCCAAAAAAACAATATATATTGTCGAAACAAATAAGATAATATTAAAAAATATAAGATAACGAAACACACACATACATGCACACAGCGTAATATACATTTTTTATAAAAGTTATAAATGTTATATGTGGAATCAAGAAAATTTTTACTTCTGAGAACTTTCATTCGTTAGACGAAATCATAAAAACTTTTTTAAAATTTTAAAATGTCAGATCTTTTCCTTATATAAACTAACAAATAATTCATGTCATTTTTAAAATGTCTTTTTTTTATTGACAAGAAACGCTTTATGAATAATCAAAGATTAAAAAATTTAATTCTTTTTCTTTAATTAAACGATTATACGAATTTAATAAAAAAAAGGTTTAATACATATATACAAATTCAGGTAAGAAATGGTCTAATAAAAGTCAGGATGTCTATTACGGTTCTTTGGGTGAGGTTGCTCGCAGGGTGAAAATTACAAAAGTGAAAGATTTATTAGATTCTTTATGCTTCCGTTGGTCAAAGTCTCATCCAAAAAACCGCAATAGACACAGAAATTAGGCGCATTAAACTTATTTCGATTAGAACGGTTCTTTTGACTATTTTCGATACATCTGTCTTTAAGACTTTAAATTCTCAAAGCAAAACGCGCATGACCTATACAAACGCACTGTGTTATTGTGTTGTTATTCAGTATATTCGAGATCATAACATATGCATTTTTTTCAAATTACATAAAAAGATATTTAAACAAGTTTGTAACTCGTATTTACCATATCTGCGCCTGACTCTTATTAACCCCAATTCTTATCGAAATTTATACTCATGTGTATTAATTATAATAATAAGGTAAATTAGCTTGCATAATTGCGATCAATATAATAAGTACTTAGTATTTATACGTTTGCTTTATTCGACGTAGTTTTTCATTTACTATATTTGTCTTGCAAAAATATTAGCGCATATCTCGCAGCAGAAAGACTTCTCATTTTTAATTATTTGTTCGAATTAATGTACATCACACTTAACAAATATTGTTTAATCAGCCGTGAAATCATGCTAACAAGAATATTTACTGGCCTGAACGATATCACCTTCGAGTCTTAATCTAACAAAGTTTCTTGTAGCTTACTTGTAACAAGACTGTAGTAGTGTCAATTTATTAAGAATCACGTATGGTTTTTTTGTCAATTGGATTAATCCTCGATGTACTGCCCGCTTTGACAATTGAAGTCTCTTCAAATCATGTTTTAACTGGAACACAATTATCACAATTAAATTCACAATATCACAATTATCTGTCATCCTTATATCAAGTTTATTTAGCAGTATATAAATTTTGTATCGCTAGAGGATGGATCTCCTTTACTTTATCGTCTTCATCGATCTATATATATTGCGTAAAATATATTACCAAATTAATTGGTAAAGCTTGAAAAATGATAAACATTTTTGTTGCAAAAATACATAATGAATTACGAATTATATTGAGTTTGTTGCTTCAAAAATATCTCAAAAAAAAAAAAATCCCCTACACATCGCGAAATTTCAACACTCGAAATTAAGAGATCAATCCCTTAACGCATGGCAGTGAAATAATTTGTTTAACAATCAGGCGAGAAAAAAATCGCACTTTGATGAGCTTATAGCGGCGATTCTTATTTCCAGCACGACGAAGCCACCACTTTAAATCAAAGTTGTCAAAGATACAAGGAATACTTTTTTCCTCTTTGAACTCTGTCATTTCTGTCGCGTGATTTGTTCTTTGTCAGCGATATAATTACATTTGAATGAGCGAGAGAGCATCTCTTTATTCAAATTTCAAAAAACAGTCAATCTTTCCCTCGCGACGTACAATAATCGATACTCTCTATACGACATAATACCCGTGAAAAAATTTTTTATATATAACAATATAAATTTATATAAAAATATATAAAATTATCATATATAATTAGATAAAAATACTTTTTATGTATATAAATATATGTTTCATATATAATTTGACATGATTATAAATCCTATATATGAACCCTTATAATTTATATAATTATATATAAAAATGGACATATTTCACAATATAATTTAAGATAAAAAAATTTTGTCCGGGTATCGTATAACTTTGAAGAAATCGACGAAATATATTTAAAAGAAACAAAAACTTCGTGTTGATTTGCACGTGTTTATAACTAGTTTATACTATTTATGACAAAACTAATCACTCAATAATGATAAAGGATCGCGCACAAAATTCGTTTCTCATCCGTCGCACAATAAACTTTTATTTTTCTTCACGTTTTTTTGTCAGTCTACCTGTCCTTCCTCTACGCGTCTTAACACGTTTCTCACTATGTTTATTTGTCGAATGTCGAATTCTGCCTACAGAATCGATTGACATGCCACCTCTTGGCAAATTTTAATAACTATGGTTTATAAATTTAAATATATATGTATATATGTATATATATATATATATACAGGATATCCGGTGACTCGCGTTTAACATGTTAATGAGAGATTTCTGAGGCGATTTGGAGATGATTTTTTCTCAGCGAAAATGTCCAGGCACCAATAATTTTTGAGTTATAAATGATTTAAAATATTATAAAAGCTTTTTTGCTAAGCCTTGCAAAAATAAATTATTAACAAAACTATACATTTTTAAGTTAATTTCAGGTAACGTTTACTGTAATATAGACTTTTAATTTAAGGCTTAGTTACATAGATACATAATTTCAAAAATTGGGAACATTAAAAAAATGATGACCCTTCTCATCATTTTCGCTGAGGAAAAATCGTCTCCAAATCGTCTCAGGAATCTCCCATTAACGTGTAAAACGCGAGTCACCGGACACCCGGTATATATATATATATATATTTACATATTTGTCATATATATATAAATAGATCTATATACAGGGTGTTCGATAACTAACGGACCAACGATTACAAATGGATTCTTTGGTCAATATGGGAACGATTTTTCCTCAGCGAAAATGTCGAAAAAGGTCATCATTTTTTACAACTTTCCAATATTTGTCATTATGTATCTTTATAACTAAGCCTTAAATTAAAATTTTATTATAGTAAACTTTATCTGAAATTAACTGAAGATTGTAATTATGTTAGACTTTTAACTCCAAAACGTTTAGTTTTCAAAAAACCCATTTTTTTTCAATCGTTTATAATTCGAAAATTATTGACTGCTCAACATTTTGCTAAGAAAAAATCGTCTCCAAATTGGCCAGAGAATCCGCCCTTAATCATTGGTCCGTTAGTTACCGGACACCCTGTATAAAAATAGAAATATTTTACAGCAAACAAAAAATTAAAAAAGAAAGAAAGAAAGAAAACATCTAATTTTATTCGCTGTTTTCGAGCTCATTAAAATGTATGATGAATACCATACATAAAGAGTCTCGACTTTCATATATATACAGGGTGTCCGGTAACTAACGAATCAATGATTAAGGACGGATTCTCTGGCCAATTTAGAGACGATTTTTTCGTGGCAAAATGTTGAGAAGTCAATAATTTTCGAGTTATAAGCAATTGAAAAAAATGGGTTTTTAGAAAACTAAACGTTTTAGAGTTAAAAATCTAACATAATTACATTCTTCAGTTAATTTCAGGTAGATTTTACTGTAATAAAATTTTAATTTGAGGCTTAGTTATAAAGATATATAATGACAAATATTGGAAAGTTGTAAAAAATGATGACCTTTTTCGACATTTTCGCTGAGGAAAAATCGTTCCCAAATTGACCAAAGAATCCATTTGTAATCGTTGGTCCGTTAGTTACCGGACACCCTGTATATATATTTCTCTCTTTTCAAAATTTTATATCATTTTAATGAATTCGAAAACAGCGAATAAAATTAGATGTTTTCTTTCTTTTTAATTTCTTGTTTTCTGTGAAATATTTCTATTTTTAACATCTTTCTTTAAATTTGTTTCAAATTTGTTATTAAATATATTCAGATAAACATTAGTGCCTCTTCGATTTTTTTTCTCCCAATACGTAAAAATATTAAAAAGATTTTTTGCACATATATATGTATATATAAGATCTCTTTATGATGGATAGAATTTTTCAAAATGCTTTGTGTAGCATTAAATTTTTGCAAGAATGATGTAACTTGAGAGTATCAGTTAATCTATTTCAACGAATGTAAGCTCATTCCTAATGATAATAAAATTCTTTGCATTGCTCTTATCGATACATCTCGTATTACTCTTTTGCGTCGTGAAATCTGAGAACAACTTTTTAAATCTTCGATACATTCATACATCGTATGCAATATTATATATATATTTATATTAAATTGCATTTTTGTACTGTGATTCATCGTTTTTTTTTCTTTTTTTTATCAATGAGTGTCAATTGATACATATCATAAAAATAATAATTAAGGTATTAATAGTATTTTCCTTTCAAAACTAGAATATGAACGATTAGACTATACGTCGTTCAATCATTGGTAAAATTAAAAGGATGTACTTTTATTCTTTAATATTATATACATTTTTTATTAAAATATACTACATATGTAATATAGAAAATGGTAATATATATACATATAAAAAAACGAACGAAGAATTTCGGAAGAATCCCCCAGAGAAATAATTGTTGAATCGACGTCATTCGTCGTCAAATTGATCGAATTCACGTCGAATCGGTGTCGATTCGACCAATCATTTCTCGTTGGGTTATTTGAAGAACTCTCAGAGAAACACTCTCGCACAATCTTTTTTTTCTGAAAATAATCTGATAATTATTAATGATATACTTGAGAAGTACATTGGCATCTTTTGACGTGTTCGTTATTTGAAGAACTCTCAGAGAAACACTCTCGCACAATCTTTTTTTTTCTGAAAATAATCTGATAATTATTAATGATATACTTGAAAAGTCCATTGGCATCTTTTGACGTGTTTGAACGTATTTCATCACGACCCTACATAGAAGTATATTTTTTTGGAAGTACACTCTCATTTTATGATCAAAAGTCGCATAATCGACACAACCTTTGAAACTTAACAGAACACACTTGAAAGATTGGAAGCACTCTGCCGCACTGAATAACGGTGACTTCGTCGCGCTATTTATATACTAATTCAACTTTATACTTAAGAAAAGTTTGACCAAGAGGTTGCCGTTTATGAGCTGTCTCACGCAGATTTTGATAAAACCGCCGGCTTTCTTTATCATTTCTTGTCAATTTAACGAAAATGAAAACTAGGGAAATAATAAAAACTTTATATCTCAAAGATAAGATAATATATGGTCCTCTGGCGAAGAAAAAAAAGAGAGAAATGTTAGATGAGTCATCGCATAGAAGTACAAGCGGTTATAATTTCCATGAAAAAAAAAAATAATAAATAAATAAATTACATGACGTGTTTTGCGCCATTGATATTCTTTAGTGTGCTTTATGCAGATGTGTATATATACGTGTATTTCGCGCATACATTATTTAAAATGAGAATGCGTCTGCTATACAATGCATTTGTCATTGCGAAATGATTCGCGATGCAGCTGATAAGTTCTGTCTCGATTAATTTTAATGACTGAACAATTAAAAGAAAAATAATTTATTTATTAATATATATACTATATATATATATATATATATATATATATATATATATATATATACATTTGCGTATATAATATTTTTATATAAAATAGTTTTCCTGTTTATTGATCATTTCGCATATATGCGAGAAATGAAAAATATCGAAACACAGAATGTTCAACAGATCTGATCAAATAATAAAATTTCGCTGAACGTTATGTCACGAGTCAACTAATCGATCATCGACATCGTAGTAGTTTAGAAAACAAGATAAAGAAAAAGATACGCTTTTTACATTCGATACATTATAATGTAAATATAATGTAAATCGTTGTTTAAAGTCTTTTATGAAGAAACGATTAACAAAAGTTGATGACCCTACGATCCTTAGATATTTTAGCCGCGATAAAGTGACTTTTGAGTAGTGTTACACACGTGTTATAGAACGTATCAGATCGAGATTTATATGTAACAAAAGATACAAATATTGTAAATCAGAAATATCTAACAATTTAAACTTTTAATATTTTTGTACTTTCTCTCCTTTGTAAAACAAATTTTTATTTGATTTTAAAATTCTCATAACATAATGTAAGAACATTATAATTTGTTCTCTTATGAAAAATTATGATTTGTCTGAAAAAAATAATTAAGAACGCATGCGTTTGATTTATAGTGGGAAAACACTTTTTATATATAAAATAAATAAAATTATAAGATAGGAACGATATATTTAATTCGACCCAAACTAGCCAAGAAAATTTTTAGTTTATTTCCACAACGTTTCAACCATCTGTTTTTGGTCTTTTTCAAGTGACAAAAACAGATGGTCGAAACGTTGTGGAAATAAAATAAAAATTTTCTTGGCTAGTTTGGGTCGAATTAAATATATCGTTCCTATTTTAAATACCACTAGCGACGTTTTAAGTATTCAATTTGATAAAATTATAAGATGTTAATTTGGAAACTATTTATATGTAATCAAAATAATAATGTTTATATAAAAATTAATAATCGTTATTTAAAAACAAATTAAAACACAAATAGTTATATATTTTATTTTTATTGTACTTTTTATTTTTAGCCAAGTTTAAAAAATATATGTCGAATATAACAAATATTTAATACAAAGCAACCTATCGTTTTATTTTGTACATTTTTCTACAATTGTAATGTTTTTTTAATTTTTAAACAAAGAAATGAATTTTCATTTCTCTGTTTAAAAATTACTTGTTAGACTTAATTATATATACTATATATAACTTGTAATTATTGTTAGATAATATATTCCTTAAATATGCAAATAAGAAATACGTCAATAGTGAATCTCGTCAATAGTGAAAAAAATGAGCATAATTATAAGGACAGGAAAGAACACGTAATTGGAGACTTATTATACCCATACAATGAATTTAAAATACATATATAAATTATCATCATAATAGATTTTTGCCCTATAATATGTAAAGCAGATATGCACCTATTTAAAAATAGAATATTTAATTAAGAGTTTAACTAGGCTCTGTAATATAAATATAAATTTAACATATATAAGACAGGCAATAAGAGCCAAATCGCGAATGACAGTGCGTTATCCTAAACGAAACTAAATTTTTTCGTTAGAATTAAATACCTGTGCACAAGGCACCAAATTTTACTTGGACACGGCCAAGATATAAAATTGGAATAATCTCTACAAGAGATTTTTAATTTCATGTATCCCCTATTCCCCCTAAAGAAATAAATGCGAGAGAAAAATAGATCCGAAAGTCGCAGAATCGGGAAT